TAGAATCTACCCACATATTCAATGCATGGATTTCCACATCCAAAACATCATATATATATATATATATATATATATATATATATATATATATATATATATATATATATATATATATATATATATATATATATATATATATATATATATATATATATATATATATATATATATATATATATATATATATATATATATATAAGAACATCATCAATATTTAAAATTAAATCAAAATCCCAATTTTTTTTTATTGGAGGTTAAAGACTCATCAATTCTACCCCTCAAGCATATATCTATTATTGAATCTATTATCCCCCTTAACTGATTTTGCAAGCAGCAATCGAAAAATCATGGTCTTAGATTATTCTTCCATTCTCTCCAAATCTCTAACCTTCTATCTCCCCTACGCCTCTAATCCTATTTTCACGTACTGATAGAAAATTTTCTAAACCTATATTATTTGTTAACCTTAAATAGTTAGGGTAATATAGTCATAATTATAATTTTCTCCTTTACTAACAATTATTATTACTCTTTCCTTTCATGTATTTCTATTAATTTAAAAATTGAACCCAACTCTCTATTTTCTTATTTTAATTAAATAAATCTCATAAAATAGTATTATTTAAATTATTAAAATAATTCCTAATAACTTAATCAAACTTTACTAGCCTCTAAGTTATTCTCTGCACTCTCATCTCAAAGTCACATACCCTTGCCACCAATATTTATTTAATTAATAATATCCCAATAATCAAATAAATACACAAAATCATAATAAATCAAATCATTTAATTAAATCAAAAAACAAAAGTGTTACAACTATCCCCCACTTAAAGAATTTTCACCCTCGAAAATTACCTTAAGTAAACAGATTTAGATAGACTCCCTCATCTGACTCTCAAACTCCCAAGTCACGTTTCCAGAAGCTCTTTCTCCCCAAGCTACCTTCACCAAGGTAATATCTTTACCACACAACTGCTTCACTTCCCGGTCCTCTATTCAAATGGGTGATGCCTCAATAGTCAGGTTATCTCTCACTTGTACATCATCCACTTGGATCACATGAGAAAGATCTAAAATGCATCTCCTCAGTTGAGACACATGAAACACATTATGAAGATTGGTAAGTGACGATGGCAAAGCAAACTGATAGGCCACTTATCATATTCTCTGTTAAATCTGGTACAAACTTATGAAACGCGGAATGAGCTTTTGAGACTTTAAAGCTCTACCAACGTCAATTACTGGAGTAACTCTAAAAAATACGTGATCCCCCTCTTGAAACTCAAGTTCTTTCATTCCTTTATCATGGTAGCTCTTTTGGAGTCTCTATGAGGCTCTAATCTTCTCTTGGATCACTTTGATCTCCTCTATGGTCTGTTGGACAATATCAGGTCCAATCATATCACCCTTTCTTGACTCATTCCAATATAAAGGTGACATACACCTTTTACCATACCATGCCTCAAATGCTGCCATTTCAATGCTCAAATGAAAACTATTGTTGTAGGTAAACTCAATTAGTAGTAAAAAAACTATCCCAATACCCTTCTTGTTCCAGCATACAGGCTCTCAACAAGTCTTATAAGAATTGGATAGTTCTCTCTGTCTGACCATTTGTCTGCTAATGATAGGCATAACTCAAACGTAGCTTCGTACCCAAAGCTTTCTACAAACTTTCCTAGAACCTCGACGTAAACCTTGGATCTCTGTCAGATACAATACTGGATAGAATCCCATGCAAACTGATAATCTTCTCAATATACAGATTTGTTAATCTCTCTAATGGATAGTTAACTCGAATCAAAATGATGTGATCCAATTTAGTCAACCTATCCACAATAACCTAAATAATGTTACAATTTTTCACTGTCCGAGGCAACCCAGACATAAAGCCTATCAAAATGTTGTCCCACTTCCGCTCAGGAATAGACAACAGTTGCATCAAACCTAACAACTTTTGATGCTCAATATTTGGCTTCTGGAAAATCAAACACGCAAACACGAACTCGGTAATATCCTTCTTCATTCCTGGCCACCAAAACTACTTCTTCAAATCTTGGTACATTTTAGTAGCACCAGGATGAATACTCAAGCCGCTTATATGACCTTCCTCAAGAATGATCTTCTTAAGTTCTGGCACATCTAATACATAAACCCTATCTCTGAATCTCATCACACTATTCTCATCAATTTTGAACTAATCACCTTGACCCTAATTAATCAACACTAATTGATTAATCAATCATAAGCCGATCTTCTGACCTTATATGATATCTTCAAAACTACCTCAGATCAGCTTCAACATGCCTAATTCACAATGTTACGAGTCCTTTTACATACTAAACTCAAATCTCGCAATTGTTCAATCAACTACAACTATAAAATCAAAGCATCGATATATGCAATGATTTCCTACTTAAAGCATCAACTACGACATTGGCGTTACCAGGATGGCAATTCAAACCAAAATCACAGTCCTTCAAAAATTTGAGCCACCTCATCTGTGTCATATTTAAATCTTCCTGATCAAACAAGTACTTTAAACTTTTGTGATCACTGAACACTTCGAATCTGAAACCAAATAGACAAGGCCTCCAAATCATAAGTATAAACATAATGACGACTAATTCTAGATCACACGTAGGATAATTTCTATCATGAAAGTTAAACTGTCTAGAAACATAAGCTACGATCTGCCTATTCTGCATCAGCACACCACCCATACCCATTATTGAAGCATCACAATACACAATAAATGACTCACTCGGATTTGGCAAAATCAATACTGGAGTAGACGTCAACTTCTTCTTAAGTTCTATAAATCCCTATTCACGCAAAACATCCCACACATATGCTTGACCTTTTCGAATTAGCCAAGTCAAAGGCATTGCCAACTTCGAAAAGCCTTCAATAAACCTTTTGTAGTAACCAGACAAACCTAGAAAACTTCTGATCTCAGTAACTCGGAGTTTCCCACTGTAATACAACATCAACCTTCAACAGATCAACAACAATATCTCCACTAGAAATCACATGTCTCAAGAAATTCATTTATTTCAACAAAACTCACACTTAGATAACTTTGCATACAAATTATTTTCTTTAAAGGTCTACAACACAATCCTTAGATGCTCTGTATGATCTTCACTTGACTTAGAATATATCAAAATATCGTCGATGAACACAATCATAAACTAGTATAGATACACATGGAATATTTGATTAATATACTCCATGAACGTTAGGTACACCAAACAACATCACAAAATACTCGTAGTGATCATACCTTATTCTGAAAGCAGTCTTTGAAATATCCTCTAATTTCACTCAAATATGGTGATAACCTGATCGCAAATAAATCTTACTAAAAATACAAGCACTAACTAACCGATCCATCAGATCATTAATCCTCAGAAGTGGATACTTGTTCTTGATAGTCACTTTATTCAACTGTCGATAATCAACATATAACCTCATGCTATCATCCTTCTTCTTAACTAATGATATTGTTGCTCCCCACAACAAAACACTCGGTCGGACAAACTTCTTCTCAAGCAACTCTTCCAATTGTTTCTTCGGCTCACTCAGCTCTGAAGCAGACATTCTACACGAAGCCATCAACACATGACTAGTACTGGGTGCTAAGTTTACAGTAAACTCCACCTCGCGCTCAGGTGGCAAATAACTGATATCATCTGGAAACACTTTGGGAAAATCACACATAACTGGCAGTTCTTCCATTGCAACTTTACTGCCGATTCCTAAAGCAGCAAACAAAGCGAACACCCGTGCCTCCTCTTTTAAGAATTCATCTACTTAGTAGATACAAACATCAACTTTCCATCTCCTCATATCTTTTGAAACATCACGGTCTTGGAAAACAGTTGATATGAACACAGTTGAACTCCAACCAATTCATTTCAAATATGACATCAAGTTAGCTCATTTGTTGACATACTAAGTCATTCACAAAACTCTTATTATAAATAGTCAGTAGACACTTCAAACACACCAATAAAATAATTACTGAACCATTGGCTGAGGTATCAATAACCATACTTCCAACCATAAAGGTTAACTTTAAATCCAATCTCTTAGCACAATCAAGCAAAATAAAGGAACGTGTCACACCCGTGTTAATAATAGCAATTAGAGAGATACTATTGATAAAAAATAAAATACTCTTTTTGATCCTTTATCTTTACCTAAAAATCTATTTTGCAGAATAAAATTGCACACCACTAAACTACTTCACATTTGTTATTTTAATTTATATACTGAATATATATTTACATTTCCATACTAGAATATTTACATTTCCTTCTTATCAAAATATTGAATAGAGTTTTAATTTGAGAAGAAAGTTATCAAAAATATGGAGATTTTAATTTGAAAATAAAGTACTTTCAAAACATTCACCAATGTTATTTCCTATTTTGTTGATGTAGTCTCACTTCATGAAAGAATCTCAAATCACCATATATAACATATATCTCAATCTCAACAACATAAATACAAATCATCACTATAATATATATATTTCTTGAAACATAATAATCAATATAATTAATATGTTTATTTCAATCTCAACAACAAACATTCAAACATCAATAACAAACTGGTAGTTCTATAAACCTCAATATAAAATAAAAGTAAAAAAAAAAACTTGAAATAATGTTGCAAATATTATTATCATCATCATCTGGAAGAATCGACGATCAGTATTACACTATTACCACCCTACTACTTTTTACAACCAATCATATTCATAAAATTTTTTTTTGTCTCCTTCAATTTTCCTATACTTATTCAGATAAATCTTAAGAGGTTCGGTATATTCTTCAAGTAAATTTACCTTTCTACATAATATTTTTTGGACCAAAATACCGTCATATAAATTAATTTTTAAGGAATAAAAAAATTATTTTGCCTTAAATTAATTTCTTTTGAGGTACCATATCCAAACTGCATCTTACAAGTTCAGTGAAGATTCAAACATGGCGAAAGTGGTGTACCTGGCTTTACCTTTTCTCACACAACCCTACAAAACCACCACAGCTTCTTTTTCATCATCATCTTCTTCTAAACCATTGAAGCTTCCACATAGAACACGCAGCACCAACCTATCCATTCCATCATCTACCAACGGTAACAAACTAAACAAACTTAATTTCAATTACAATGCTACTTCTGTTTACTCACGCACCTTCGTTCACGCTCACCAAATTTTTTGAAACTTTCAGCTGCTGCTAACCGTTCTCTTAAACCCCAGAAGCTTAATTCAGATGTTTCTCCTCACAGGGCTGGTATATATCTATCTACTTTCACACAAAAAATTTAAGGTTTTTTTGTTCATTTTCTTATTCAATTGTTGAATGTTTTCATAGTGTCTGCGGTGAGATTGATGAGAATTGAACTTGGTGGTGCTTTTGCTGACCTTCTTAATGAGAAAGGGAAAGGTTCTGGTGAAAATGAGATGGGTTATGTTCAAAGAACGCTTGGCTTTCGCACTCGAGAATTGAACAATCAAGACCTTAGATTGGTTATTTATCCCTTTCAACACATTTTCTCTTTATGTTTTGGTCGATTGGATTCATAGTCAAGATAAAACTGAGAATCTGTGATACCTATGAAGCACCAATGCAGAAATCTTACACCACATAATGTGTGACATATGTCAATATTGTGTCGGACATTGGACTCGCCTTCAAATCTGAAGTGTCGGTGCGGCATAAGTCATCTTTAATGGCTGAATGAGTCACTTATCTTTGTCCCTAATTAAGCACACTAATGTCTAACTTCGTAGCACCAACACCTCTAACAAAAGTGTGTCGGTGTCCAGGGCCATCTCAAACTTTTGAGAGGCCCTACTAAGAATCTGATGTAAGCTTCAGTTGAGTTGTGAATTTTTTAAAAGGCCGTGTTTAACTATAAATTAATCGTGGAATATGTGCATGGAAACCCTTTTTTCTATAGCTTTATCATGAAAAAGTGTGAGGCCTTGTGCTGTAGGCCACCTTGCACACCCTTAAAGACAATCCTGTCAGTGTCGGTGTTTTAAACCGACACCGACACTTGTAATTATATTTAATTAATTAATTTTTTCTAATTATTATTGGTGTCGACATGTCAATGTCAATGTCGTGTTTCTAGTGTGTGTGCTTCATTCATTTAACTTACAGTTCAACTGAAACTTTGTTGAGTGCCCTCTTCCCCCACATTTTCCTATCTGTCCTAGCCATGTAAAGTCCAGGGTGTTATCACTCATAACTAGGGTTAAAGTTTGAAGTACTTTTACTTTTAAAACTCCCTTTCATGTCATTAAGTATTCACGAGCAAATTTGTTGATTGTTTTATTGTTTCGTTACTGAAAATTACATAGGTTACAAACATTGTTGGGGGTACAATTCGTTGGAGGAGATACCTTGATCATTTAATCAGTTCATTGTGTCACGATAAAGATATATCTAGTATGGAACCTCTTCTCTTACAGGTGGGCTCTATACTTATTCTGAGGCCTTATACTCATCATCTGATTATTGATCTTAGTACTTTGCTTGGTCAGATTCTACGAATTGGCTTCTATGAGATTCTCAAATTAGATATGCCACCTTATGCTGTTGTCGATGAGGTATTTCATTGACTCAAATACGCTTTGATTGTTTCCTTGTTGAACATATTGTATTGAACTCAAAATGATTCTCATTTGGTGAATTTACATTTTTTGTTAATTTCGATCAGGTGATTGTTAGTTTGAATTCAATTTTTAAAAGTAAAACCTGATGTCATTTTATTGTGATTGTAAGTTTGATTGGTTAATTTTGTGATTTTGGTTGCATGTATGCGTGAAAGTGTGTTTGTTTAACGTGTTAGAGATCGCTCCTTTATTGTATCTGTTTGATGATTATTGAGTACATTAAGAGTTTTGAATATTACTAAAATAAACTCAAATATTCTCTTTATTGATTTGCCAATCTTGTGTGAAATGAACGCAGAATGTGCAGCTTGCCAAAGCTGCTATCAGGCCGGGTGCAGGCAACTTGGTCAACGGAATCCTCCGAAAGCTAGTTATGCTCAAGGTTTTACTTTTTGTATATTACACATCCCTTAACTGCATGAGCGTGATTTTGCGAAGAATTTCTCAAATCTGCTGATGTCTTGTTTGCAGGAAAATGAAACTCTTCCTTTGCCTGAAGTAGAGGGCAATGATCGTTCTCAAGCACGTGCTCTGGCAACTCTTTACTCACATCCAGTTGTGAGTGTGTATCTATTGCTACTACATAATTCTACACCTAAATAATTTATAGAATATTTATGTTTTTCTGAGATCGAATTTTTGTGCGTTGAGATCCCAAAAGTACACGCAGAACCCTTCTTAGTCCTTGTGATAGATAATCTAGTGTCCAGACAAAATATAAAATTCTTAATTAAAGTGAGTAACAGAAACCGAACAAGGAAGGCTAAATTTGGTAACGCATTTTTATCCCTTCCTTTGTAGTGGATCGTAAGGAGATGGACGAAGTATCTTGGTCAGGAAGAAACCATTAAATTGATGATATGGAATAACAGTGAACCGAGTTATAGCTTAAGGCTAGTAATTGTTTCTTCCATTTTTTGTGTGCCTTCTTCAAAAGTAGCATGTTAAGACACACAATGAACTCAAGCTATATGTTTTTTCTAATTTCAGAGCAAATCGGGCAATAGGTTTTTCAAGAGATGACCTTGTGACACAGCTTGATGCGTTGAAGGTGCTACCACTTCCATGATCAAATGTTGCATTATCTTCTGCTTATAATATACATTTTTAATATATTTATTTTTTATTTTAATAATATTTTGAAATTCTCGCTCCTAGAAATATCTTTTGAGTCAAGTCTTCTCGTTATGTACAGGCATAGCAGACGATTATGTAATGTGTGCAAATAACAGTTGTCTTTTATCAGGTCCCATACAAGCTTTCATTGCATTTGGATGATTTTGTTTGCATCAAAACTGGGTTGCAGGTATGATATCGAGGCAATGAGTTTATTCTATGGCTATTTTCATCTGAGAATTTAACTTGGATATCAAATTCATATGAAGTCATTGACAAGAGATAACCTGCGAGGACCGAAATACGAAATTGTATTGTTTTTATTTTATTTTTTAATTTTTTTTACCGTATGTAATAGCATAATAGGTTAGCTGGTGCCAAATTGTGATTTGGCTGGTTATTGACCTTCGGTTTGTATATCTTTTTTATTTGTTTTTTGTTTCTTTTTCACATGAGAGGTGTTGAAATCTTGTGTGTCTTTCTGTTATTTCTCTTGTTCCGATATTCTCACTTGAGTCATTGACTGTGTGTAGTTTCATATTTCAGACCATCATTCATGCCGGCCTACTCAAAAAGGGTTTATGTTCAGTTCAGGATGAGAGTGCAGGTTAACTTGTCATCTTTTCTAATAGAAGGAATAACTGTAAAACTATAATATCTAAAGTTTCGTTTTTCCCGTTACTCTTGTTCAATGTATCACACATTCTGAATTTCAGGCCTGATAGTTTCTATTGTGGATCCTCAACCCGGTGAAACCATCGTTGATTGTTGTGCTGCTCCTGGTGGAAAGACCCTCTACATGGCCTCTCATTTAAATGGACAAGGTATTATTTGGTAGACGAATATTTATTAAAACCATGCCGGATCTTCTTTTGAACATTGCATTTTCAGGTATGGTATATGCAATTGATGTAAATAGTGGTAGGTTGAGAATTCTTAAAGAGACAGCAAAGTTGCATCAAGTAGATAGTGTCGTTACCACTGTCAATGCCGATCTTCGTACATTAACGGTATATTATATCGTTCTTATCCTATGTAGTATTAAACTCTGCCGTTGTTTTTTCTTATATCTATCATTTTTCGTTTTTTATTTTTTTATTTTTGTATTTCCCAGGACGGTGAACCACTTAAGAGTAACAAAGTTTTGTTGGACGCACCGTGCTCAGGGCTTGGCGTTCTTTCAAAGGTGGTTTGCGTTAATTATTTTATGTTTACTCATTGTTGTTGTTTTCACATAATTATCCAATGTATTTTTCTTTTCTTGTTTGCTAACCTGTTCTTATCATCTGGCTTTTGAAGAGAGCGGACTTACGTTGGAACCGGAATCTGGAGGATATGGAAGAATTGAAGACATTACAGGATGAACTCCTCGATGCAGCATCCACGTAAATCCAGAATTTATCTTTGAACTTTATGAAAGTAGGTAAAACTTGATACATTGTTTCTCCCTTATCGAGTTTTTTTTCATGCGCATTTGTAGATTGGTAAAACCCGGAGGAGTATTAGTTTACAGTACATGCTCCATAGATCCTGAAGAGAATGATGACAGGGTAGCTGCATTTCTATCAAGACATCATGTAAGTATTGTAACTTTTCACTAATCTTCAGATACTCTTCTAGTCTCATTTTTCAACTGCTGATTTCTCCTTTATCTGAGTTTCAGGATTTTCACATTGATCCTGTAGACCGATATGTTCCACCTGATTTTGTGACGCCAAAAGGTTTCTATTTCTCCAACCCAGTAAAACACTCACTCGATGGCTCTTTTGCTGCTCGTTTGGTGCGCGCTTTGTAAAATGAACTTCAAGGAACTCCATCACTATCTCGAATTGGATGACACTCAATGAAAATCGAAAGAGACTGCTTACGAGTTGCTTCTGCGATGATTTGCCGCTCTAAATTCTTCATGCTTTGAAATCAAGCATTTACCTTCTGTGAGATACCTCACTTCCTAGAAAAAGGTTTATCTATATGATGAGATTGTCAACAATTCCTCTTTCATCCGGCGATTCCGGAGGATGATGAAGCATAAAACAATATCATATATATTGTTTTCTCCAAATTCATATATATATACTTCAAGTACAATATCAAAATAGGAAAATTTTGTGGGTGAAATTAGCATAAAGCATATGCTTCTGCAGATTCAAGGAATTCCCAGAACTGTAATTTTCAGTTGTTAGCAAGGTCATGCTGTTTTTATATTGTTTTTTCTATCATCATACGTTGAATGTGTATTTAGGAGTAGTGCAACAATGAACCATATATGCACTTGACTTGTGTTAAATTTTAGTTGACTAGTCAATTTAAGAAATATTGTTTGAATTTTGAAACCAATTAATATTGTTTACTTTTATATATTCATAAATACTACTGGTTGTACTATCAATTTGTTAATATTAGTTTTAAAAACAAAGATATATTTGTTAGTGAGTTATGTATTCAATGCATATATATTATATTTTGATGGTGAACAACGAACGGCGGAATAGGAGTGAACAATGATAGTGATAGAGAGCAAGAGTGGGATTGACATAGGAAGGTTGAGGGAAAGGAAGAAAATGAAAGAAATATTGTCCCCGCACGAGATTCATGTGTTTTTTTTTTTATAGATAATGTTTCGCTCTGGAATTAGAATTAGGTGTATTTTGACGGTGAAGAATTTTGAATTGACAATTTTGCTATTAGATACGGCGGATCAGAATGAACCTTTAAGGTTAGCACTCAAATTCTAAGAATGTTGAGAATTTAAAAGTAGGGTGGACCTTCAAGGTTAACACTCAAATGTCTAAGAATGTTAAAGATTTAAGATAAGTGTAGTAAAGTGGAGATCATAAAAGTGTACCGTGTGTATCAAGTGTAAATGTTTTTATACATTGGATCGTATGGAGTGGGAAGGTATTGGAATGGACCTATACCCGACCCATAACACTTTCCCCCAAGGCTTGACTGGTAGTGATTAGTTGGGAAAGTCTTAGAAGTTGTAGCCGGCATCTGAGGATGTTGTTCGTTTATGTTCAGAAGTGAAAACACTTTAAATCAGTTACAAAAGTAGTGAGGGGCAAGCACATTAAATGTATTTTCATCATGAAAATGTTTTACCATTCCTTCTGAGCATGTGCCTCTAGGGTTTAGGTTAGGGCACGATTCCTCTGCTTATGGCACTTGAGTGTTCGTGACCCCTTACTTCCCCTGATGGGATGACTGCTTTGTTGCCTTTAGATATTCTTCAACTTTTAATCTGGATCCTTGGCTCACGATTGATTTTCCTATAATAGGAAATTTTTTTGGTCACAACTCATACACATAAATATAATTTACAACTTATTAAACTCATCATAATATTTTATCACAAAAAATTGTCATGCTTTTCATCAACACACAACAACCTTCGCTCTGAATATTCCAACATCACAAACTCAACACATGACAACCATCAATTCACAATTATATGATTATTCGATAATCATCTCGTAAGACTTATCACAAGTAAACATATTCTTCATATTTTCATGCACATACTAAACCTCTAACTAACCATAATAAGGTAGTATTTCACGTCATCTACCCACCGCTTCGAACCGCGCCTCAAATGGAGTTATGAAACTCAAGTTATGACGAAAACAATATTTTAAACAAAATATCCCTTCATGATTCGAATCATGTGTAATATGTGATTTGAATCAAATCAGGAAGAGGCCATTAAGAGACTATGATTCGAATCAAATTTCACAAGGTAACCCCATGATTCAAATCAAATTTCACAAGGTAACCCCATGATTCGAATCAAATCAGTCTACAACGTTTTTTTGCTAAATTTTCACGAGAATTTCACTTGTACGCCTAGTTTTTTCAACCTAAATTTTTCTCAATCCAATTTTTAACGTGAATTATAATAACATATCGTATATACCATTGACTTAACCCGTAATGTCATCAATTTAACATATAATCATCATCGTGTTCATCAATTAATCATGAATCTAATCTTATGTTCATAAAACCAAAAATATAACAACAACTACAACATTCAGATGCACATAGTCACATAATGTATAATTTTCAGTATGAACCAGAATACAAATTGCATATATTTCACAGCAAATATAACATATTGCACACAATTCCATTCAAAAACACATAAATCTCAACAATGGTGAAAAAGATGACAAAACTTAGAGGAAGGTGAGGATCTCTCTCAACCTCTCACAATAAATATAACATATTGCACACAATTCCATCCAAAAACACATAAATCTCAACAATGGTGAAAAAGATAACAAAACTTAGAGGAGGGTGAGGATCCCTTTCTATCCATCAAGTGAGGAAGTTCAATGTGCTAACTTTAAAAAGAACAACCCTTATTCCAACACCTATAATCCGGGCTGGAGAGCTCATTCGAACTTCCGTTGGAGCTACATCCAAAATTAAAGTGGTAACCAAGTGGTGCAATAAAATCAACAAGCTACTAATTTCCAAAGTCCTCACAGTTGGAAGAGACCTTGGAAAATTTCATGAAAGCTACTCAACTTAGCTGGGGACGATGAATAAGAATCATGAGACCATGACCAGAAACCATGGTGCCTCCATCAAAAATTTGGAGACACAAATTGGAAAATTATCAAGACAACTAGCGACCTTCCCAAGTTCAAGTGGAGGATTCTCAGGTAACGTTGTAGGAAATCCTAAGAATGAAACATGCAAAGTGGCGATGACCGATTTGGGTGTAGTAACTAAGGATGACTAGGTTGTAAAAGTTCAAAAGGATGAAAGTGAGAGTAAGAAAGGTGGAAGTGAGATAAAGGAGAAAGAACTTCAAGGGAACCAAGAAAAAAGGGAAAGTTATGCTTGAGTAAGGTATAGCTGAAAATTCTCTGAAGGAGAGAACAAATGAGCAAAACTTAAGTGAACCAAACCCACCGTTACCCATTTATATGAAACACCTTACCCAATTATTAAAAAGTAACAAGTACATGAAAATGAAGTTGGATGTTTGAGAAATTCAAAAAGATGTTGAAACAACTTCAGGTAAGTATCTCTTTTCATGAAATTTTATAATTAATTTCAAAGTTTTCTAAGTTTATGTAGGTATCGCTAAAATATGAAGAACAAAAGTTAATTTAAGCACCAGTCAACCCGACAGAAAAAAACTGAGATGGTAGAACGTTTAGAGAGGCCACACAAGATGAAGGATTAAGGAGAGTTCAATATTTCATGCACCATTTATGGGGTAAAAATCCCACATGCTTTATGTGATTTGGGCTCGAGCATCGATGTTATGCCATTGAGAAAATTCAAGGAGATGGATATAGGATAAATCAAGCGAGTGACATGACGCTTACTATGGCCGATTCATCTGAAGTTGAACCACTTGGTATTATACAAGATGTGCTAGTTCATTTCAATAGTTTGACTTTCCCCACAAAATTTATGGTGATTGATATAATAAATGATTCGGAAGGTTCTGTGATTCTTGAATGACCATTTTTGGCAAGAGGAAAGGCAAAGATAGATGTGGAAACCGGATAATTGATTTTGAAATTTAATCAAGAGAAAGTGGTGTTTAATGCATATGAATGGAAAATATGGGAGAATCTAGAGGCATGTTGCAAATTGGAAGAAATAGGTGGTGGAGTTAACAAGGGAATGGAGATAGGAGTTTTTACCGGCATGAGGGTAACCCATGCGCCTGATGTATTTTGAGGATTGAGCGTCAAGCTATTTATGTAAAAGAAGTGCTAGATAGGAGGAAAACCATCAATTTTTAACTAGTTTTTTTTGCAACATTTTACTTTTGTTTTATTTTGAAAACCAACTGCAAGAAGAATTAGCTACCAAAGAAGAACCCTGTGAAACAAATTCCATGTTCTTAATAGACTTACGTGTGACTATTTTTTTTATTTTTAAATTTACAAGTTTAGCTTTAGCATTGAACACGTGATTCAAGAAAAAAACAAAAAGAAATGACTTGATCATAACAAAAGTAACTGATGGCTTGAAGGCAATGGAACAAAAAAGAATCGACCAACTTGTACTCAACCTTAGGATACCTCATCTGGTAAGGTTTGAGCCTAAATATTTCCACTGTTCACTTTTTCCTTCTTAGAGTGTATCCATGCATTATTCATTTAGTTGGTTTGATTTATTTCCAATTAAGTTATCAAGATTGATCAATACACACTGAGGAATATTTTTTCTATATAACATTGAGCCTTTGTAAACCACCCTTTAGTAATATAACTACCCTTTTCTAAACACTTTGAGCCTAAACCTTTCTTTCGGTGACATAGCCTTAAATTCTTAGACATGTTAATTGAAATATACTTTTGGTTCATTCATCTCTTTGGAGTTAGGTAGAAGTTTAGTTCTTCAAGTGGATGAAAAAGATTAAGTTTGAGGTTGCTCTTGAAAGTGAGCAACACTTTAAGTTTGGGGATGAGGGTACTAGAGAATTTGATTTAAAATTTTAAAATTTGTCGAGAAAAAGAAGTGGAAAAAGACACTTCTTCAAAAAATATGATGAATAAATGACAAGAAGAAAAAAGAATGACATTGTAAGAAGGATTACAAATCTTTAGTACCAACAAAGAGGTATGATGAATGAGGGAGAACTAGGAATCTGACTCTAAAGGTTTAACCCTACTTTTCTAAATATATCCTACCCTAACATAAGCTAAGTTACAACCGAAAAATCCCTCTCAATGTGTGTGTTGTGATTTCCATGATTAACACTATTAGAACATAATCAAGTTATGTTTAATTGATTTTGCATGTTGATTGAGTGTTAACCCTATC